CTTGATGGTGTTGGGCCCAGGAATCTGCTAGCCTTCAGAATCTGGGCCTAGGAATCTGCTAGCCTTCAGAATCTTTTTTGCTATAGTAATACTATGATGAGACTCTGATTATTATTTGATTAATTAATTATACATATTTTAGAGAGCAATTAAAGTAATATAAATAAAACTAGTAGAACAATTGTAAGAAAATTGAAAGAATCAAAATCATATAAATGAAAGGAAAGGTATTTACCTAGGTTGCTTTCCTTTCATCTGTGAGGTTCTTCCTGGTTAAGGCACAACAGAGGCAGTGAGCCATTGTGTAATGGCAGCGTATTGATCTGGACATAGGTAGGGCTTCTGGCAGGCCAGCCTGTGCTGTAATACCAAATTAGTTATGCAGATTTTTGTTTAAAGGGCATTAAGCATTGCAGTGGATGTGTTAGATTTATTTAGGGTAGGAACCTGAAAGATATCATAAAGCCTGTGAAACAAAAGCCACAGGAGTCTGGAGAGTCCAAAGTTATAAATCTAACTTTGACCACAGACAGCTGCAGCCAAGCCAACATTCCTATCCTCTGATAAGGAGGAAGCTAACCTTCTCCCCTATCTCTGCAGGTGTTACTCACTCCTCCAGGAAAACCCTCTATAAAACTCAAGGCTTTCTCCTTCCTCAGGGTGGACACTTTTTGGCTTCCACCTATCTGTACCCACATACTCAAAATAAACAACACTTTGCTGCACCTGAGACTTCGTATATCTCCCTCTTGGCTCCAGCCTAACAGGATGAAATATTCAAACTTGTTTATAAAGGAGATTATGAGATGAGTGGTATCTGGGGAAATATTCTCTCTCACATTACTCTGAGAAAGTGTTCCCTCTCCCCATATTGAACCAAGCACAATGGCACGGATTGTTTCATTTTATTTTCACAATAACCTTTTGGGACAGGTGGTATTATTATTATAATGGCCACTTTGTAAATAAGGAAACTGAGGCTTAGCATGATTTTAGCTTGCTAAGAGCTCATAGCTAGGGAATTTAGGAGGCTTTAAGTTAGGTTAAAATTGGGACCATACTAATTGGGGACATACAAATAGGGAATATCTATATCTGTATGTGGTCTATACCTATAGTGTGTTTTTTGGCTTAATTATATACGTATCTCAGAGTCTGCCATGTCAGTAGAGATACAGATCTCTTTAATCACTGCATAGAATTCCATATTAGTATTAATATATATCATAAATTAGCAAGCCATTTTCTCTATTGGTAAACATTTAGATAATTTCCAACTTTGGTCTATTACAGATAGTACTGTAATGAACTTCCTTACAAATACAAATACATTTTTGTGCACATTTGCAAATAGTCCTATAAATATTTAGATGTGAAGTTATTAGGTAAAACATATTTACATTTAAAATGTTGATAGTTACTTTCAAGTTATGCTTTTTTTCTCCCCAAGAGTATCCTGGATGTTGCAGTCTTTTTTTTTAGTTTATTCTTATGGATAAATACATGGTATCTCCTTGTTTTAATTTGCATTTGCTTAATTTTTAATAAAGTTGAGCATATTTATATCATTTATTGGACATTAGTATTTCTTCTTTATTGAATTCTTAATTAATTTTCTTTCCCTACTCATACATGCAATTGTTTGAATTGATAAAATCCTTTACATATTATGAATATTCATATTTCATTTTAATAGTTGACAGTATTTTCTTCTAATCTATGATTTATAACTTCATTATGGTATATTTTGTTGTCTAGAAGTTTTTAGCATTTATTTTTAATCAAATTGCTTATTCATTTCCTTTAGGACTTCTCAGATCTGTGACTTTCTCTCTAGCCTGTTAGCTACACATTATCTCAAATTTTCTTTTAGCGCTTTTTGTAGGAGATATATATTTGTTTTTAATTAGTCCGAATTATAATTTTGTTAATAATATGAAATAGGAATGTTTTTCAGATGGATAATTTAATTCTTTCCATAGTATTTATTAAGTGGACCACTTTAATTTGAATAGAAAAGGAGTAGAACAGAATAGAGTATAAAAATAAATCTACCCCAGGGCTAAAACTATATTGCTTTAATAAATGAAGTTTTATTGTCTGTTTTGATATCCACCAGGGCCCGTTTCCATCTTTAGTTTCCTTTTTCAAACAGCTTGTTAGTGTCAGTGAAAAGTGTGGGTGGGATTTTAATTTCCATTACCCTGAGTTCATAAATTAAATTGGGGTAAACTGACATTTACAGTAATTTAGGGGCAGGGATGTCTTTACAATTAAGAATTAAGAATTTTAATCCAGGATAAATAATATGGCATTACACTTATTCAGGGCTTTTTGTGTTTTTTGTTTTATAGGGAAATCTTTCCGCTTTTATGGTTGATAATCATTGGATATTTTATAGTTTCTGATTGTTTTTGTTTTCTTCTAAAGCTATCATTTTTTTATGCAGATATTGACTTTTAAAAATTACTGTGCTTTGCTAACTCTTATTAGTTCTAATAGTCTTTCTGTTAAATTTCTTGAATTTTCTGGGTAAGCAATACTTGAGTGAGTTTTTTAGTTATTCATAGCTTTTTGTGCTTGCTCATATAATTTACCAGACTATGAGCAAACTGAAGATGTGTCTTATATTTTCTTTTTTATTTTTTCAGTTGACAATAATTATACTATTCAGGGGGTGCATAGTGATGTTTCTATACATATAATGTGTAGTGATCTGATCAGGGTAATTAGCATATCCATTATCTCAAACAGTTATCATTTCTTCATGTTGGAAGCATTCAATGACCTCTTTCTAGCTCTTTGAAACTATACAATATGTTATCGTTAGGTATAGTCATCCTACAGCATCACAGAACCCCCTAAAACTCATTCCTTCTATCGAACTCTAATTTTGTATCCTTCAACAAATCTCTCCCTTCCACCTACCCTTATTTGTTTATTTACTTACTATGTAGTTGCAAAATTGAGCTATGTTCCAGAACAAAGACTGTTTAAACCCTTGTTCTACAGTCTTATAGTTAGACCTATTAGCAGAAGTAGATGAAGGGCAAATATCAAATCATGTGCCAGTGGTTGCCAGGACACTTGAGAATGAAACCTAGTTAACTTTTTTTGTGTATTAAAGTTTGCTCCCATTAGCATGTTGCATTGTAATATATTCAACTATTGATGTTTTCCAAAAACTATGTGTATGTGTGTAGTCTAGGGTTTTATATTTAAAATATACATTCCTTTGCATCTCAATTATGCAAACTCCTGTTTATTCTTCAAGACTCAAATATCGTTCCCTCCACAAAATTCTTCCCTTTCTCAGGCAAATAGAAAATTACTCATTATATTCTTCTGTTACATCAGTTACCACATTATATTGTAATTATTTTGATTTCTGTATCCTTCCTAAACTGTGAGCTACTTGAAACTGTGCCTTCTCCAATGTCTAGCACAATGTCTGGCATAGGGTTGGTACTCTGTAAATTTTAGTTGAGTGAAAAAATATATAGGAAGGAAAAGATTAAAAACTGTCTAAGAGAAAGTCATAAGTGTGACAATTTAAGAAAAATATTAATGGTTCTATGGAAGGGGCAAAATAGGAAGAATATTTTATAAAAAGATAAATAATTATCAGCTACATATGTTAATGTTACAGAAACTTAAAAAAAAAAGGATAAATACAAGTACAAATGCCATAGTATAGAAATGTGCATTTTGATGCAGTATTATTTACTATAACAGAGAAATGCAGTAGAGACCAAATGAGGATCCACATGGCATAAGGCCATGAAAACATGATGAAAGTCAGAGAGAAAAAACAGTATTCATTTCAGGTACAAACCCTACAAATGGCATGATTTTGAGAAGTAAATACCATTAGGAACCATACTATATCTACTTCTATATAAGCAATATATATTCTTGGTTTATAGGTTACTGTAGATAGAAAACAAGAATTGGTATTAATAGTTTTCCAATAATATCTATGTAAAGCATACCTGGATTAGCTGGCCAGCCTTGTAGCAAATAAACATGATTTCTTTAATCTTTGACCCTCTGTTTTTATTATAACTTTTTAATATATATTTTTAAATTACTAGATTTTAAGATTTTAGGGGAGCACAGTTTTTTCAGGCATAGTTTAGATGCTTAATAATTGCTGAATTTAATTGAAAATATCAGTTTTTATTATACATATTAATTGGACTTGATGGATTATACTTTTCCTACTGTTACATAGTCTTTAGTGTATTAAGAGAGGAGTTGGATAACTAATTTATTCTTTTTCCAAATAAAACAAATATTTCAGTAGAAATAAGGACTATCAAGTTTCTTAAGGCTATATCTGAATGATTTAGGTAAGATATAAAAAGCTGTCGATATCCTATTTGTTCTATAGCTCTTGAGTAATATTTTGATAGTCATCTCATAGTCATTTCATTTTCAATGAAAATTTAATTTAAATCTATATGCAAATAAAATGAGGGGTGACAGCTGAGAACACTTTAACGTAACCTAGGTTCAGTGATTTTATGATTGAAATATCATTATAGTATTAATACACTACAACCTCAGGGCTAGTATTGGTCAAACCATACAAACCTCCATACCATAGGTTCAGTGTTGGTGTTTGCTTAGGCAGCTTCAAGATGTTTTACAAGGAAACAGCAGAGCATTACAGCTAATATGATATATTCTGATTCTATAAAGGGTGATGAATATTGCTATTCAAATAATGTATTCTGTGGCTACTGTTGTTGTCTCTTAAATTATTAAATGTGGTAGTATCACTCATACATTTTTTAAATTGATAAGTTATTTTTATACTGATTGATTTTTCACTCTCTTAACATGTCAATTGATTTTGAATATAAAATACTTGTTTGCAAGAAATTCATCACATAAATGTTTCAATTTACATAGCTTTGGATACCTAGCAGATTTTCTTTTTAATTAAGAAAGAGTCTTTTCTGCATTATCACCTTGTTATTGGTCTCTTACTCCAGGTTTTCAAAACATACTCCAATGAAGAGTATGACAGGAGAAATGATGAAATTGACCCTGTGGCTGCTTCAGCTGAGTTTGAACTTGAGAAACGTATTGAAAAACTGGACCTGTTCCCCGTGGAGCTAGAGAAAGGTTCGTGAGTTTATAATATTAAATATTTGTTTTTATAATATGTGTTTATAAACAATTATTTGGCTATATTAATAATACAGAGTTATTTTTCCAAAGTGTAGCCTTTTTTCTAAGAATTGGATAAAATGTTACTTCTCACAGAAGGTCTTATTTATTAAGTTTCAAAAATAGTTTATATAGATTCTGGATAGGTGGTGGGATTGAAAGACTTCCTTATCCCTCCCACTCCTAACAGAAACCCATCTACTTGGCAAGCTGGGATGGTGGTTAGGATCAGGAAGGTATGAGTGAGGCCTAACGCTTTGTTGGTATTCCTGGAAAAGGGCTGATGCAGCTGAGAGCCCAGAGAGAGCTGGTATAAGTGAGAACTTGGGGACAGATGATTGTTTTTGTTTTTGTGTTTGTTTTGTTTTCCTGGAGAGAGAGTAGCCTTGGAATATGGAAGGTAGGGGGCATGTCTGCATTAGCCTTTGGAAAATTACGGACATTTGGAATGAAGGCAGTGAAATCCAGGACTTAAATAGTAGGGCTACATCCTCTCTATCTCTGAGGGGAGAAGCTCAAAGAGAGGAAGAAAAAGAGGGAGCAGAGGGGCTTCCTCCTGATTTTCTTCTCTGGAATGACAGCCTGCCTGCTGCAGTAACTGCTGAAGGGGGGGGGGGGGGGGAGAGCAGAGCTACTGTGTTTATCATCATCATGTAAGATGGGCACCCACAAACTAGACTGTGACCCATGACCAGAAAAAATAACACATCTGAGAGAGCTTTAGAAAAAGTAGAACAGACAATTTGATAACTTGAATAACAATAAAGAAAGAAACAAAAACCCACTCAAGGATATTCAATATGGCTTTAAAAAGGCATTCTTAAGCAAATTAGTAACAACAAATTCCTTGATTTTCAATTGAAAAATTTCACTAGAGGAATTGAAGAGAAAAGGATTGGTTATTGTCGAGATTCAAATTGGTGACCTGTAAGGTTAAGTATAAGAGATGTCCCAAACTGATTCTGAAATGACAAAGCAAAAATCCAGGAAAAATAATGCAGGAGCCCCAATATTAAAGTTGTAGGCAACAGAAGGGGAGAAGACAAAGGAAGAGAAGGGATATATTAAGTAATATGAAGAAACAGAAGAAAATTTTCTTGAGCTGGAAAAAAGACTGAAGTCTCATATTGAAAAGAGCTTATCATCCCATTGTGAGCGAGAGAGCTAAAAACCCCCAAACTGATTCCACGATTAGGCATAACTAGGGGAAAAGTCCAAATGTTCAAAGATAAAGAGAAAATCTTACAAAATACTAGGCCAAAAAACCAAACCAGACAAACAACTAAAATACTTGGAAAGGCAAAATAATTAGACTAATGTCATCAGACTTTTTATTTGCAACACAGAAGCAGGGAGATGTAGATATAATTTCACATGCCATTGAGGATAAAAAGGATGATGGTCCAACAATCCTAGAGCCATCCCAGAGAGCATTTACCTCTCCTGGTAAAAGAAAGAAACTTGCTGATATGTAAGGATTTAAAGCACCACATCACCTACCTACTTTATCTGAGTGATTTACTTCCCAATTATCAGGTAGGAAATAAAACAAAGAGCAGGTTTTGAGAACAGCAAAGGTGAGGAAAAAAAGAGCAGAAAACTATGTAAGTATTTAACATAAAATTGCTTAGATGAAGAAGATATGGAGAATACCAATCATATTCCACTAAACATGACTAACGGATGACTTGTGTTAAAAGACACTTTCATTGTGGTTAAAGTGAAGTAAACAGTGATGCTTACGTTTTTTGTAGATTTAAAAATGTGAAAACCACTCTTAGCTGATGGGCCATACAAAACCAGCAGACCCATTGCATTGCTTATAATAACAAAAAGTGAGAGCAATGCAAATGTTTGTCAGTGGTAGTAGAGAGAGTCTATACATCATTGTAGCATATCTAGTTAATAAAATATTGCTCAACAGTAAAAGTGAATGAGCCACAGTTTATGCCGCAGTGCGTATGATTGTTACAAACATGAAGTAAAGGGAAAACAGAAATACCAAATCACAGAAGTAGCCATTCAGCATAATTCCATTCATTTAAATTTTGAAACAAAAAAATAATTAAACATCATATTATTTAGAGATATAGAAATAAGTAGTTTTTCAAAAAACAGTAGTAAAAAAAAAGGAGGAAATGATTAACACAGTATTTAGGATAATGATCACGGAGGAAAGAGTTATGAAGATCAGGCAGGGGTACATAGTGGGCTTTTGGTAATATGCTATGTCTTTGTTGATACATGGATGTTTATTTTATTTATTTATTATTTATTTTATTTTTATTTTTATTCTTTAAACATAATGCTTTGTAGATAAATGTTATCTACTGGCATACATACTCTTTTGTATATATGCTGTATTTCATACAGAAAATTAAACTAGAGGAATTAAACTAAAAGATAACCAAATGAAATATCATTTTTAGAGATTTCAATACATATTTTTCAGAACTAGACAGATCTATAGACAAAACAAGTAAGGACATAGATGATTAATATCATCATCTCAATTTAAAGCTGTATTTAAAATGAAAAAATCTTATCCTGTGGAAAAGTTTTAAATCTTCTTTAATATCAAGAGAATTTGGAAATTATATATTTCCAGGTAGATGTTTGAGCAAAGAGAAATGAAAACTAGTATTCTAAATCATCTTATAAGGATTGCACTTAAAAAATCTTTAATATACATCAAAAGCCTTACTGAGGAGGAAAGTTATGTCCTTAACTTCTTTCTTTAAAAGAAAAAAAAGGGAAAAGGAAAAAGCTCATGTCTTGAGAGTCAGAAAAAGTAAACAGAATAAATCAAACGAACTGGGAAGGCAGAATAGTATAAATAAAAACAATATTAATGACAGAAAAATAGTCAAATAAGTTAATGAGAAGCTTTTTCATTGAATAAGTAGATCCATAAAATATATCAATTTCTCACAATACTGAAGAAAATTGAAAGCAAATATATGCAAATTAGGAATGGAAAGCAAATATATACAAATATACAATATAAGAGAGTCAGCTACTGAATTTCTTTGGCAAAGTGCATACCTAGAAATAATTTATTATTTCCTAACAAAATATGAATTATCAAAATCAACTCAAGTAAAATAGACTAATTGCCATAAAAGGAACTACAATGATGACTAAAGATAAAATATTAAAATGTTATCAGAACCAGATGGTTCTATTGTACTTTTGAAGAACACATAAAACCAGTGTTATTTAGACTATTTTATATCATAGATAATGAAGGAAAGCTCTTTAATGCATTCCATCAAAATAACATATGGCCATTTACACCAAAAACTACAAAAAGATTGCTGTTGTACAACTCCAATTATGAATATGTTTTAAAATTCTAAATGAAATAAAATATCAAATATAGAAATATTTAAAGAGAAAAATACATTAAGACAAATAACATTTTAGATATATGGATACAAGGTGGTTCACTATTAGGAAATTTATCCCCATAACATTTAAAAGAAAAAGCCTGTAATCATGAAAACATATCAATTTGATAACATTTAGCCACTTGAAATAAAAACTCTGTAAATGAGTGCATGATGGAAACTGCCTAAATATTATACTATAGATCATAATACCAACAGAGAATTCTATTTTTAAATTTAGTAAACACTGAATATATTTCAATTAAAACTAATAGATCAATACTTATATATACATATATAAATAACATTCATCAGAAATCAAGCAGGTGGGAGGGGGAAGAAGGTAATGGGTAAATTCACACCTAAAGGGTAAGTCGCACACTATCTGGGGAATGAGCACGCTTTTAACTTTGACTCAATGGTACAAAAGTAATTTATGTAACCAAAATGTTTGTATCCCTGTAATATTTAGAATTAAAAAAAATAAAAATTTGAAATATGTAAAGAAAAGAATTCTGAAAAACAACAACAAACTAGGCGTCAAATTTGGAATGCCCTTTAAATGAAATAATCAGTATAAATAAAAAAAGTAAAATATGAAAGCATTGCTGTTTGCTGATATATCTATGTCTATATCTATAACTAAATTGATCCTAATTTTAAAATATTAGAATTTGCAAGATAATTTGTGAAGGAGGACATCACATCCATATAAGAAAACTAATGGCCTTTTCTCTATATTCACATTAAGAACCTAGAAATGAAAATGGGAAAACTGTTTCATTTACAGTAGCATCAAAACAACAAAAATACTTATTTTTATTACTGAGAAAAACATAGAATTTATCTATATAAAATAATAAAATCTTTTTGAAAGACATCTAAGCAAATCAAAAGATATACCATATTCTTGGAAAGGAAAATTTAATATTAAAAAGTCTCTTTGTAAATAAATATATAAGTTTAGTGCAGTTCAAATAGAACTGCCAACAAAGTTGGGTTGGGAGAGGGGACTGCAGAAAGTATTTATATTATATTTGATATGGAAAAATATAGACCTAAGGGAAAAAGAATGAAAAAGAATTTGAACAAGGACTTAATTTGCCAAATATCTGAATATAAAATAAAGCTTCTATAATCAGAACAAATTGTATTCACATAGAAATCTGTCAGTGGAACAAAATAGAAAACCCAGAGAAAGATGTTAGTATGCATGAAAATTTAATGTATGACATGCATTATATTTCAACCTAGAAGTAACAGCATGCTTTATAAATTGTTCTGGTGTAACTGAGCATCTATCTGGAGGAATATAAAGTTGGACGTCTTTGTTGCATCATATATAAAAACTAACTCCACATGACTTCAATATTAAAAATAAAATAAAGATCTATAAAGAAAATTTATATAAGTACATATATGGTCTAGGCTTGTGGGAGGAAGGGCTTAACCAAAATGGGGAAACCAGAAGTTAGAAAAGATGAACCAATTCAATCACCTATAATTTTAAAGAGAAAGCTAATAGATAAGTGATAAACTTGGCTTGGGGGTTAGGGGGAAGTTGCATTGTAGATTACAAAGAGTTAATATCTATAATATGCTAAGAATCCTAGAAAATTATCAGTAAAGAAGATACAGGTAAAACTTAGTATTAATAGAAAAATGAGTAATTTCCTGAAGAGGAAACCTAATGACCCATGCTGCTGCTAATACAGCCTCAAATCTTGCTAGCAGTGAGGGGATGATGAACCAACGTGGGCGCCTTTCCTGGGAGAAAGTAAGCTTTGAGCTCCTGAGTAAGGTGATGGCATCTTCCGTAATACCATGGTCTCATGGTCTTTCTCATCTTCTCATGGCTGCTTTGTCTACTTAGAGCTTTGCCTGTGCCTAGGAGCCTGTTAGGTTCTTGACAGTGCAGCCACAGGACTTGGTGGCCTTCTTTCAAGTCTGCAGCCTAGGCCTTCCCCCATCTATGACATCTCAGAGAAAACTGGAAAAACAAAATGTTCCAGAACATCAGCCACCTGGTCTCTCTGGGATGATCCCACTCCTTGTATTGCTTGCCCTTCAGTCATCTTTTGTCCTCATAGGTATTAACTAGTTTTCATTACCATTGAGGGTAGCTCTAGGTAATACTGCTTTTTCCACATACAAATCTGAGTAATTTTCCAGTTAAAGCAGTGAGAGGAGCAATGGAAGGAAGAGAATTTTATTGAGATCTGAGTCCAGGCAGAGAAAATAGATTTAGAAAAGCAAGAAGTAATTGTCACTCAGAATAGTTGCAGGAAGAAACTATGTAATGGCATTGACAGTACAGAGATTTCACATTTGAGAAGGAACTCTTTGAATGTAATAAGTATGGGAAGGTTGCACTCATAGCTCCACATTGGCTTGACGTGTGATAATTCACAATGAAGAGAAACCCTGGAAATATAATGAATGTGAGCAAGAATTCAGCCAGGACACTGATACATACATACCCCAGAGATTTCATACGTGACAGAAACCTTACGGCATTATTCAGTGTGGAAGAGGCTATAGTGTTAACACAACACAAGGGCAACACACTAGGGAGAAAATTTATCCGAATGTAAGCACTGTGGGAAGGATTTTCAGTAATCATTCATCCCTTACCAGTGTGAACAGATTCACACTCTAGAGAAACCCTATCAATATGTTGAAGGTGAACAAGAATCCAGCCATCAGCTAACCTTTATACACACACTGTAGTTGATGCGGAAAAGAAGAAACCCTATACACCTAACCCACGTGGAAGAGCCTTCAGCATGTGTCTAACCTTCATGCACACAAGAAAACTCATTCTGGGGAGAAACTCTAACACTGTAATGAATGTAGACAAATTTTTAGCATGATAAATTTTCTTGATGAACATCAGAGTATTTATACCAGAGAAACAATTTGAATAAGACACATATGAGACATCACATGTATGCAAACATTCTAAATGTAGCGAATGAGAAAGGTATTCAGTGATTACTTATCCGTTAGTCAACATTAAAGTTCTCACACTGGAAAGATACCAATGCTTGAGTCAATGTGGTAATGCCTTCAGCTGGGGTTCACATCAGAAAACGAATCCAAGTGATATACTATAAGAATTCCTTTAGCATACAACTGAAAAAACAAGTCACATTTTTGCCAAATGACAACTTTTTAAACATATGTAGAATTAAGATGTAGGATTGTGAATCATGCTTAGGAAGGGGAAGTTGATCACAAGTGGTAATCAATGAGATGAACCCTCTTTGAAAGAATACTAATTAAGAATACTTAATAAAGGTTATTGCTGACACATCTTTTGAAAACATAAAGCATTCTGTTTAGTATGTGGGCTAGTTTTTCCTTAATAGTCCATCACTGTTGATTAGCTATTATTTATTTTTTATGCTGCTAATAAACCATGATTGCAAAGACTTTGAGGGCATCAGAAAATAACTTTGAATGTTAACCAAAAAATGTGGTACACAAAGTAGTGTATCGTTTCTTTGATTATTAAACTTTATACATTCACAGAAAGGCAAAATGGAAATATGAATAAACACATGATTTATAAGTGAATTTTAAAAAGCTGCTGTTTATCAGTATTGTTTACAAGGCCAATGAAATGGAAACAAAAGCGAAGTACTTCTGAATAAAGAAATGGTTGAATACAGTATGATAACATTTCACCATGAAATATTATGCAGCCATTAGAAATGATGTAGACCTATACAAATTAATATCCATGATAATTTATTGGATTTTTAAAAGTAAGGTACAGAGAGATATAGATATAATCTTATTTGTGTAAAGCAAATAGGAAGGAGAAACAAGCCAAATATGTGTGTGTATGTATGTATATATTGTAGCTGTTGATAAGTGTATTGGCTTATGTAATAGCACAGAAGAAAGTACTCAAAGACACATACTATCTTATTAAATGAATGGGCAAGTATAAAAGAAAAGAAAACAGACTACATAAATAAAGGAGAAATTCCAGATATGTTGTGATCACATTTCTTTAAAATTCTATATGTATTTTTTTGTGAGCTTTTATGTCTAAAACAATTCATAGGATTACTTTGGGAATCTGTTTGTTAAGGCAGATTGATTATACATAACCAAATTATTTCCTTTTCTTGGGACCACAGTGAATTACCAACTGCAATAGTAAAATGAGAATAAATTCATGAGCCTTTTGGAGGATCTTATGAGATACCCTTACTCCCTAGCTTATTAAAAAAAATTCTATAGCAAGCATATCATATGTCCTATCCATAGAGAAGCACAAAATTAGAAGTAGCAAATAGGCCTTCCCAGCTAATTGTGGGCTAGTGTAAAACAGGATGTTATGTTTTTGTTTTGTTTTGTTTTTCTTTTTCATAGATGAGGATGGTCTTGGCATAAGCATTATCGGCATGGGTGTTGGAGCAGATGCTGGACTTGAAAAGCTGGGGATATTTGTCAAGACAGTAACAGAAGGCGGTGCTGCTTACCAGGATGGCAGGTAAGCGAACTACTGTTGTTAACTTAAAATCTTAGCGAACTTGGAATTCTTTCAGAGGTGGCTTTCTTCCTTTGATTTTTTTTTTTCGGGGGGACAGAATTTCAGAGTGTTTCTCAAATGTGGCAGTTGTTAAAACACATGAATTACTTTGTGATTTGTAGGCAGGATATCTGTTTTCTGTGATATATATTAGATAAATTAAATCTATCTATCTATACTTGTCTTCATCTCTCTATCTGGTGGGAAGTGGGCAGAAACGTGGGTGTATATAGTTAAAAACCATGTACTGTGGAGGTCAGCATATAATTTTAACTTCAGAAATGTTGAAAAAAATGATAATAGTTTTTGGCATTTTTGAAAATGAAACAGATAGAAGATAAATTAGCAGCTCTAATTCTACATTGATGGTAATTCTGGAGATTTGTTTCCCCAAATGTGTTTTATCTAAAAACACCGGTTTTTGAGTGCCACCTAAACTTGTAGAATTAAAATCTCTAGGAGAGCGGTCTTTGTTTAAACATCCACCTTGGATAATTCTGATGCACAGCAGAGCACATCATTATTTTATGTCTTAGCTTTCATCATCTCAAGCTACATACATCTTTAACCCTTTGCACTCACTTGCTTTTTTTCTCGATTCCTTTATTCTACTTGGGATTTAATTTTTTAAATACCCCAGATTTTACAAAGCCCAGCAGTAGAATAAAAAACTGGAGTTTCTTTTCATACAAACTTATTTATTTGGATTTTTTTATATTTCAAATTATTGATACATTCAAAGAGTAATTTTAATCTCTATAACTTTTGCTAACTGTGTCGAGTCACACTTGACATCCGAGTGCAAAGGGTTAAAGATTTTGATTAATTGTTATACTAGGCTCCTGATGTATCAGGTTGAAGCTAGAAGCAAAAGGTTGGTGTGTCTTAGTTTGTTTTGTGCTCCTATAACAGAATACCTAAGACTGGATAATTTATAATGAACAGAAATTTATTTGGCTCATGGTTCTGAAGGCTGGGAAATCCAAGATCAGGTGCCATATCTGGTGATGGCCTTCTTGCTATGTCATCCCATGGTAGAAAGCAGAAGGGCAAGACAGTGCATGTAAGAGAGAACAAGACAGTGCCAAACTCATTTTTATAGCAACGCACTCTGGAGATAGTGAATCCACTCCCATGATAGCAACATTAATCCATTCATGACCCTCATGACCTAATCACCTTTTTAAAGTCCACTTCTCAACACTGTTGCATTCAGGATTAAGTTTTCAACACATGAATTTAGGAGGCACATTCAAACTATAGCAGTTGGCAATAGAAATAAAAGTAGACCCAAAAATACAATTGCCAAATTCAAAGAAATATCATCTTTTTTTTAATGGAACATTGAATGAGTAGCTTGGATTTTTTTTCAATGGTTAAGTATATATAAATTTTGAAGCATTTTTGGGTGATAGGAAATAATGTTTATAGATGGTATTTAAACATTATTAATTATCATAAACCATCTCTCTTAAGTGAATTGGCCACAAAGCCAAACCAAAATACAACTTGATTAAAAAACAAAAAGATGGAAAATTTTGCATTGAACACTTAACCAGTTTTCATTCTAAACACAGACCTATTTATTTTTCCCTCATTCATTTTTAAATTAGGTTTATTTTCTATTAACCTATTTACTGACTTTTTTCCTCCTGCATAGTTTTCATTATTTATACCAATCTTAGAACTTTGCTGTATCAGTCCCAGTGCATTTCCTCCCTCCTTTTAAATGAATGTTTACCTAGTATACTAATCTTGCTGCTGTTGTAATAGGTGCTTAGAAAATGCCTCAGCAAATACAGTAAGAGAGGCAACTTAATGTGATGAAATGAGCAGAATCTTTAAGGTCATGTAACCAGGAGTTTTAATTCCATTCACTCTACTTATCAGCTATGGGATATTGAACAAATTACTTAATTTTCATGTTATCTACATTACAGGATTGTTGTAAGCACCAGGTAAGCTTACGTAAGTTAAGAAACCTTCCACAGTTCTGTTTGCATATGGAACCGTTCTTGAACCAAGTAAAAACTGAAAATGTAATAAAAAATAGTGATTATGGGAAGAATCATGTGGAAAACTATTGAAAGGTATATAACCTACATACGGAATCATAAATCTTGGTAGTCAGAGGGACTTCAGAGATCTTCCAACCCATGTATTTTATTTTATATGTTTAAGAAAATTGAGAGTGTATGTATAGATGAGAAAATGAGAAAATAAGTGGTTTCTTAATTAGACCTATGACAGTTTTAGTATCTTTTAAATTATTATATTATTATCATCCCCATTACTGGTGTGCTAATTTGCATAGTGTTTGCCTGTTTACTAGTTGAAAGGTAGCCACATATGAAAGTTATGCAAAGACAGTCGGTTGCTGCCTCTAGTCAATAATGATTTTTAAGGTAATGATATGTATACTTATATAGAAAAGTCTTGTATTAAGCATTTACAAAACAGTATGATTAATATGACGCCATTCTTTTGTGAATATGTGTTCTATTTATTCATTTTTCTCTTTTTTTTCCTTTGTCTCTCTTTGTCTCTGTCTCTCTTAGTCTCTTTTTCTCAAAAAGCCTAAAATTAATACATGCCCAAGTGTTGAATGGCTCTAGTTTGTGGCGTTATTTAAATTTCAGCTAATTAATATGAAATATTTAGGTGTTTTTTTTCAGAGATTGTAACATCTGTATTAGTTTTCTATTGCTGCTGAAACAAGTTACCCCAAACTCAGAATATAGTTTGAAAACTATACTTGAATATACTTTGAATATACTTAGAATATAGTTTGAAATATAGTTCTATACTTAGAATATAGTTTGAAAACTATATACTTGTATATAGTTTTTAAACTGCCACTAAAAATGATGAGATTGTCACTCTGCAGTGGTTACTCTTCAGACCTCAGTTATTGAGGATCTGGCTTAGATGTTCTCTGTAACTGTTCCTGTTAGCTTTAAAAGGATAAGATTCTCTGTTATAGTTTTCTAGCTTTCTGTAGTTTCTTAATGCTTCCTATTTAAGAAAACTTATTTCAGTTTAATCTCAGATTTAGTCATACTTCCTTCAAGGAATGTTAAATAAGCAGACATATATAGAAAGGGTTTTTTTCCTCTCTCTTCTCCCCCTTTCCTGCCCCCACACAAGAAGCCTTTCCATTGTGATTGTTTTTACTTCTTCTAAATGGCTCATAAACTCTCACCATATTTTGGATACTTTTAAAGATTTGCCATGGGTACTTATCTCCTGATTTATCCAATATAGTTAGAAAGTTTAGAATCTTCCTTTTTCTTTGATACTATGCCATACTTTCTAAATTTTCTTTTGTCAAGCTTTTCCTGTCTGTATCTTCTCATATGATGCCTTAAGCATAGAGGGTGCTCAAGAAATAATTGTCGAATGAGTAAATCCTTGCGTTTTATTCACTTTTGAAACATTTCCTTGGGCTTAACATTTTTCTGTTTGTTTTTGTGCTACTCTGCCTCTTACAGGGTAGCTTGTCATGTAGCTGAATGACATGACAGCCATTTCCACCTTCTGTTTTAGTTTTAAGTTTTTAGTAAAATAATATAATATCTATTGATCATTATTTTCTGTTGCCAGAAATGTAATTATTAGGATTGCACATAAGACACTTTGACACACTAGTGATTCTCCAGTTCTCTTTCAAGATTCTGTAAAACGAAATTAGTTTCCTAATAACACAATTTAAAATGCCGAATTATAGAGTAACTCTCATGGACACTATTAAGGATGCTGTGCTAAACAGGTAAATTAAATGTGTGTTTGGGGATCTGTTTTAGTTTTGGTTCCTATTTTTGTTTCTCAAGCTTTTGTTCATCATCATTTTAAAACACTGTCCTTTTCAGTTTTATTAGAAGAGCTATTCAATGTGAAATTAAGGTACTGTGTAATTTATCCTTATTCAAGTATTGGTTTTCATGTGATTTTAATTGTTTTTGACCCTTTGGAGTAACACCAACATACAAAACAGATGAACAATCCTATTCTTATGATTATACTACAGCAAATCCACTCTTTCTAAGGGACCCATCTTTGACCCTGCGGGTCCCCTCCAACCTTGAAGAATCCTGTTTGGAAACTGCTGTTTTAATTGAGTCTGTCACAGTCCCTTAGTCGATGGTTTCCTCTCTGTGCACACACTCATGTCACTCTTCTGATCAAATATTTTGCTTGTTTACCCCTTAGACAGTTGGACTATTATGGCTTTGACATGAATTTTCACATACGTTTAAAACTTCACTAGCTAGCATTTTAGGGAAGATCTCTGTTGACCAAAGTTCATTAATGTTGCTCCAGCTGGTCTCCCCATCATTCATCTTTGGTTGCCTTGTTGATATAAGCCCTGTGAGGTAGGGTTGGGTTTTTTTTTTCCTTTTCCCAGAAACATCGTGTCAATAAATAACTATCCAGTAACATTAAACAAAACCTAGAATAGTCCAGCTTCTATATTTTCATTAGCCTTATGCCTACTGATTCTGGTTTTTAGATTAAAGATTGAGGAGTCTCAGCACTATCACAGTGAGGCTGAAGAGCAGTGGTGTTGCACACTTTGGTTTATTATAAGCACATGGAAACTATTGAGGAACTGGCCAGGATGAAATGGCTTTTACAGACTCGCCAGGTACATTCCCATAAATTTCATTCCAGTTGACAGTGTTTCCAGGGGAAACAGGCTATTTCCTCTGCTATTCTGGAAAATTTGGGGAAAGTCTAGATTATCCATAGAAGGGATCATTCTCTATACTCTGGGATGGTCTGATGCAGAGCTCTCTGTCTGTGTCATTTTTACCACCAGAAGTCATCATCCCTTGTCTTTTCTGTGCTTTTTAATTACAGCCAAGGGTTGAGAGAGATTGTCAGTGTTACTGTTCTGTGAGGTTGTGTCTGAAATTTATAGTCTCACAGGACAAGAGACGCAAGCAAAGTGGGTATCAGAC